CAAATGAACAAATTTGGCACCATGTACCTCCTACTCTGACACAAGTAACATAGTAGGTGGTCAGAAGTGCCAGGCTGGCACAAAGGGTGCTGCTGACTGGTCTGGCTTCCTGAAGAGGAATGTCTGCTTACGAACAAAGGGCAGGTTCCATGTTTTCCATTCTTGAGAACCCTGCGTCTATGATACGTTCCTTCATATGAGCCTTGTGCGTGGTATTTCCTGGCACAGCAAGAAGCCACTCATACTTCCTGAAGACAGCCTGAGGGAAGCCCCACGAAGCTGAGGCCAAGGGACAGGGTTTGCTGTGTGCTCCAATAGAGTAAACACTGAGTAAATGTGAGATAGTGTGTCAGTACAGTCAAAGCAGACCTAAGGCATAATTTGTCAGGACTCAAGATAAATTTGCTATAAACATAAGATTCTAACAAAACAACCACCATTTTCAAAGATGAAATGGCAAAGCTTCGAATTTCCTAAGACCATGGCCATACCACAGATATGACCAATGATTACAACTTTGATCAAAACTACCCGTCTTTTTGATTATCACTGAAGTTAACTACCTCAGTATCTAGTGGGACACAGTTAACAGGTAATGAATATTGGGAAAGAATGTCAGAACTAAAGGAAATTTCAGTTTTTCCATAAGTAAAATTTTCTCTTTAATATGTTTTTTAATTTTTTTTTTTTTGAGACAGGGTTTCTATGTAGCCCTGGTAGTTCTGGAACTCACTATGTAGACCAGGCTGATCCAGAGATCCACCTGCCTCCCAAGTGCTGAGATTAGGCATGTGCCACCAGTACCTGACTCAAAAGAATTGTGTGTGTGTGTGTGTGTGTGTGTGTGTGCGCGTGTGTGTCTCAGAGGACATCTTGTGGCGTCTGGCTCTCTCCTGCAATCATGTGGATCCCCAGGACTGAACTCAGTTTGTCAGGCTTGGCAGCAAGTGCCTATACTCACTGAACCATCTTGCCAGTCCTAAAAAACTCTTATAGTATAGCCTCAAATAATACAGCAATTTTTTTTTTGTTTTTGTTTTTTTGAGACAGGGTTTCTCTGTGTGGCCCTGGCTGTCCTGGAACTCACTCTGTAGACCAGGCTAGCCTCGAACTCTCAAACTCAGAAATCCGCCTGCCTCTGCCTCCCAAGTGCTGGGATTAAAGGCGTGCGCCACTACCGCCCGGCAATAATACAGCAATTTGACAGTGATAAAAATGAGTAAGAGGCTGGAGAGATTGCTTAGTGGTTAAGAGCATTGGCTACTGTTCCAGAGGTCCTGAGTTCAATTCCCAGCAACCACACAGTGGCTCACAACCATCTGTAATGGGATCTGATGCCCTCTTCTGGTGTGTCTGAAGATAGAGATAGTGTACTCACATACATAACATAAAAAGAAAGAAAGAAAGAAAGAAAGAAAGAAAGAAAGAAAGAAAGAAAGAAAGAGACAAAAAGAAAGAAAGAAAGAGAGAGAGAGAGAGAGAGAGAGAGAGAGAGAGAGAGAGAAAGAAAGAAAGAAAGAGAGAAAGAAAGAGAGAGAGAAGAGCTAATTGCTTGCCTATTGCAGAGTAACCAGGTAACTCTTAGAAGCTGGTTGGAGCTGCATGTCTGCAATCTCAGTGCTGGGCAGGATGAGGCTTGCCTGCAATGTTCAGTATATTCTAGGATAGCCTGAGCTACTGAGTGAGACTGTTTCAAAATGTCAAAATGAACAAAATTTAGAAGAAAACTTACATTCTTAACTCCAGTACTGAAATTATGTCTGGAACATGGCTTTACCTGCGGCTGCTGTTGGGTAATGTATCAAAAATTCAGTTGTAGTTGCTAGAAACTGGGGTAAAGGATCCATGGCTGACACACGATCTTAGAAATGACCCTTTACAGGACTGCTGTCACTCAGAAATGGGGTGTGGGGGCCAGAACTTGGAGGGAGACATCAGTAAGTAAACAAGTTGCCTTGTACACACAGGGACCTAAATTCCATCCCTAGAACCCAGAACCCAGCTTGGAAGCACAGGGTGGTTAATCCCAGTACTAGGAACACAGAGACAGGCTGGTGTCGTCAGCTCCCCGGCTAGCCATCTAGCCTGTGTGTCGAGCTTGAGGCCAATGAGAGAGAGACACTGACTCAAAGGAGCTGGAAGGCTTTCCTGAGGCTGTCATTAGATGTTGGATGTGCTCTTCTGATGTGGCGATTTACAATGACCTCCACCACCCCAGCCCCTGACCTCGGAGGGTTTTGTACACGTGTAGCAAATCCTCTACACCCCAAGTCCCAGCTGTTCTAGCCAGTTGACAGAGGTAAACAACTAAATTCTTATAAGTGACAAAACACTAGGATGCTTCCAGCTGACAGCCTTAAACCTTTAAAAAAAAAATACATATATATATATATATGGCACTATTCAATAACAGTAAAGGAAAGGTCTGGAGTCTCATTTCTTCTTGAATATACCCACAGTACAGCCAGGCAGCCAGTGGTCTTGGTGTGCTGACAGTGGACATGAACCCCAGAACTGGCACAGCCCCCTACGGGCTCTAACCTTCTTCAGCCGCTCCTGGTCCCCATGCAGGTTGTCTAAACCGTTGGGCAGAACCTGGCTGCACTTTCAGTCCTTCACATCCTTCAAGAGCCAGTCTGGGATCTTGTTCTGCTGTGGACTCTGCATGAAGGTGATCAAATGTTCCCTCTCATTATCCGTGAATTCTCCAGCCCGCCTGGTGAGGTCAATGTCTGCCCTCCTCGACACCACATGGGCATCTGTCTCACAACCTTAACGGCTGTGCTGGCAGTGCTGGCAAAGGCCATCTTCTGCTGTTCATCGATACGGGTGTTGAACACTAGTAAATTGTGCTGGGACTTTTCAGGGATCACTAGAGACATGGCGCAGCAGCATGTAGGCCTCCTGTGGAAGGTAGCCTGTATCCTCTTAACTGCTGTCCATGTGGAAAGACTGACCCTTGCCCTCAGGGACCGGTCAGCAACATGCTCTCAGTATTTTGAGGTCAATTTTTTTCTCTTTTAAACACTTAATTTATTTTTACTTTATACATATTGGTGTTTTGCCTGCATATATTTCTGTGTGAGGCTGTCAATTATTGGAGTTACAGACAGTTGTAAGCTGCTATGTGGATGCTGGGAATTGAACCCGGGTCCTCTGGAAGAACAGTCAGTGCTCTTAACCACTAAGCCATCTCTTCAGCCCAAGGTCAATTTAAATAGTGAGAAAGACCTCAAAATGGAGGAGAGTAGGGTTTCAAAGGGACATATACTCGGGGATTATCTACTAGGGCCATACTTTTAGCTGGCTTTTAGAAATGTGATGAAGCTGGGCAGTGGTGGTGCACGCCTTTAATCCCAGCACTTGGGAGGCAGAGGCAGGCGGATTTCTGAGTTTGAGAAATCAGGGCTAGCCTGGTCTACAGAGTGAGTTCCAGGACAGCCAGGGCCACACAGAGAAATCCTGTCTCGAAAATAAAAAAAATAAAAAAATAAAAAAGAAATGTGATGAAATATTGAACACATTCCTCCAGTTTCTAGGATTTTTTCTGACTTCCAGGGTCAGACAGAATGGAAACAATTATATGTTGCAATTTGTTCCTGGGAGTCTGTGGGAATGTTGACAGTTTTAATTTACATACTAATGTTAGAAAAACATTTGAGAGGCAAAGTAATAGAAAGGTCTTTGTAACAGAAAGAATATGGAGAAAAATAAACCACACTGAACAGCAGACAGGAAGGAGGCCGACCACTGCAGGTGAAGGCCAGGCTCACCACTTCCTCTGAAATGATTCCAATTGTCCATCTGCAAAAAGCCACCATGTCAATGGAAGACTCGCCATCTTTATTCACTGGACATGCCTTTCCTTGGCTCTGTCTTCAGAGAAAGGCCTAACAATCAGAGATTCTAAGCTGTTTGCCCAAAAGCCTTAGTTTCTCCTGGGAGACCCGCCTGCCTAGAATACCTGATCTACCATTTTCAAGATCAAACAACATCTCCGAAACACACAGTCTACGTCTGACTAACAGTGCATTTAGACACTCTCTCATTGGAACAGATTTTTGCTTTAGCCCTAATTCTTGGAGAAATGAGAAACTTATTTATTTTGAGACATGGTCTTGCTATGTAGACTGGCCTGGTATTCACTCTGTAGACCAGTCTAGCCTGGAACTCAGAGACCTGCCTGCCTCTGCCCCCCCAACCCCGACCCCATGCTAGGATCAAAGGTGTGTACCACCACACCTGGCTTGAAATGCAGGAATCTTCACCAAAACATCTTAATATAAGACTATTAAAAGGCTAGCTGCTGTACATGACAGACCTTCCAAATTCCAGAAAGGATGAACAGGTGAGCAGGAGACATGGCTTACCAGCATTAATAATTGCACTTGTACAGAACTTACTGGTGAACGACACTGGGGAAGCAGGTAGCACTCAGTGCTAGGATGAGCACTGGAATGGTCCAGTAGTCTGAACAGTACCAAGGCTAACAGGTACTGAGGGAGGGAAATGCAGAGTAACTAACAGGCAGGTCTTCCTAGCTCCACTGAAGAAAGCGAGGCTCCATAAGCTGAAGTAACTGAGGTGCCCGGAGTGTCAGGCTCTTTAACAGAGGGCTACTTTAAGTAGAGCAGACAGTCGTGATGAACAGTAGGTCCCTCAGCTATGCTTACTGGTGGTTTTGTTTGCTTTTTGCTTGAGAAAGGGTTTCACCAAGAAGCTCTGGCTGGCGTCAACCTCTTCATTTCCCACCTTTGCCTCCCAGTACTGGGGTCACAGGTGTATGTCATCACACCTAGTCTCCTGGTGCTCTTCTTTTAAGAATGGTTAAGGCACACCGACATTAAGGGTTTCAGATAGACATGAGTCTTTTTCACATGAGAAATACCTCCAGATTCCTGGTTCACTGGGGGAGCATGAGGCAAAGGACAATCTTACTATAGCTTAAAACTCCACACAACAATTTTATAACTAGCTACCAACCCAAAGAAAACTGAAAATAGGAATTCAACATGTACCTGTGCAGAAATGGTCTTAATGGCACTGTTGACAAAAGCTGAAAACAACACAGACACTCATCAAACACATGGCTAAACAAAATGAAGTATTCACACAGTGAGGGATTACTCAGGCTTGCACAAAAATGAAGGAAGTTTCAAAGTATGTTACAATGTGAATTAGCCCTAAAAATACTGCATGAAGAAGCCAGATCCATAACAAGTCACCCCGTGTATAATCACATGCGAAGTTCATATGAACTCTCCAGAAAGGTAAGTCCGAAGACACAACAGAGCAGCTCAGAGGATGCTGGAGGCTGGGAGGAAGGCATCTTGGAGTGACTGCTTAACAGATCCAGGTTCTCCTTCAGGGTGATGGGCAGGACTTGGTGCTTGGTTGGTAGCTGCACAGCATTACTGAGGCCACGGTGTGGAACTGTGACTTCTGTGTTGATATGACTTATCTCTATGGGTCGGTGGTGGCACACATACAGCACCACTGGTTACAGTGGATGATCAGCCTTTCTTGGTGTGCTACACTTGAACAGCGAATAGAGACAGCCCACTGGTAAGGCACAGCAGCGCTCATCTGAGTACCGGCTTCTTGGGAGGAGGAGGTGACTAGAAAAGCGCCTGAGCCCATGACTCCAGCACAGGGGGACTCCTCACTGTTTCTTTTATTTAGTGTGTAAGAATACAAATGCATGTGTACATGTATACACACATGGGCCATGGGACATATGTGGAGGTCAGAAGACAACTTGTAAAAGCCAATTTTCTTCCTTCATCAGATGATCTGGGAATTAAACTCAGGGCATCAGGCTTGGCAGCAAGCACCTTTACTCACTGGGCCATCTTGCTGGCTCAGAGACCCACCTCTCTCCAAAAGTCCAAAAGACTTTACGAGTTTCAAATAAGGCATTTACATAGCTGAGGTCCCCTAATTTGTTGGCAAAGCACCTAGCAGAACTTTAGTTTATAAGAAGCAGTAAAAATGTTTTTAACTTGTATAAAGTGGAAAAAAAAAAAAAGAATAATAATGAGAAACACAGAGAGGAATATAATTCAGGCGCGGCCTGGGAGGAAAGTGTGGGGACCAGGCCGTGAGGCTGCCAATTCGGAGCCATGGTTCCAGGGAGACACTTGCTCTCCTCATAACTTCCTTTGTGTTTCTCCCCAAGCTGCACAGTTGATAGTAGCTTGTTGTTACCACCCTCAGAGTTGGCAAGAGGTCACACACAGAGGGCTGCCACTTCCTATTGCTTCCCCACTGAGACAAGGCAGGGGGTTAAGTTACTTCAGGAGGCTCTCAACAGGGCTCCCATTGTTGCTTCTTAGGAACCCAGAGATACAATGGGACCCATTCATGCTGCCCACAAACAGGCTGGGAACAGCCCCTCAGTGCCCATCAACTGAGTTAGGACACTGAAGTTTCATAGATGGTAACTTGCACAAATACAAGTTAATTATTATTAAAAAGAAAAAAAAAACAGTACAGAATAAAGAAATAAAACTTGGATTCAGGACACCTGAGCCCCAGCCTCGGCTCTGCCTCTAATGTGACTTTAGACAGATCACGCGCTCTAAGTCTTGGTTTTCTTGTGTAAAGACGAAAAGGTTTCTAAGATTCTCCAGACACAGTAGGGCCAGTGACAGACATCACTGTGCTGTTCATCCCAGGCAAGCAGACAAGTCAGGACAGTCACTAGCTCATAGCACTCACTCACTCCATCAGCACTGAGAACAAGACATCTTAACCAAACAAACCACAGTGAACACCGTCCCTCCCTCTGTCCCAACAACCCAGGGTCATGTAAGAAGGGATATCCACAGAGAGAAGGATGAAGACCCTAAGCAGAAGCCACGCTGTGTTTCCAAGTCACCTGTTCCTGGGCTGTTGCTGCATTTTGAGAGTCTCTACTTCTTTGCATTGCCTGAGTCCTCAGGATGAAAGCACCGTGTCAGGACGGATGGGGCTGGGAGAGCCAAACCCACCCTTGTCATTTCTTGGCTTTTTCAACCTCAAACCCTGCCAGAGCAAGGACCTTGTCTCCAGAGCCTAAGGGAAAAACACAAAATAAAAAGGTTGCTTCAAATGCACTTAGAGCCCAGGTAGGAACAGAACAGAAAACCAGATGTGTTAGCCCTACAGCGCCACTGCCACCCGGATCTTTCTCCCGAACAGACAGTCCAACTAGGAGAATGGCCTACTGGTAAGGGATCCTAACTCAGCTCTAGGTATGAAAAGCGTATGTAAAATCCTGATTTAGCCTTATAGTTGCCCGTTGTTCTAGAACAGATAACCTGTGCTGAGGAGCGCGTGCCAGAGGAGCCACACCTGGTTCCCACCGTACAAATCTGCTCACAGCTCTAACTCTAGGTGCAGGGGACCCAGTGCCCTCTACGGACTCGTAGGACTCCACATACAAGGAACCAAGACAGTCATACATGTAATTTTAAAATAAGTAATTCTTATAAAAAAGAAACAAAAAAGCTGGGGTTGTTGGTGTGCACCTTCAGGCTCAGCTACTTAGGAGCTGGGGCACGGGAATGACTTGAGCTGAGGGTTGAAGGCCAGCCTTGACAACACAGTAAAGGGGCAGCTCACAAAAGGGGCCGGGGTTAGGGTAAAGGCACTGGGACCCACACACTAGGAGAGAACCAACTCCTGACCTCCATAACTGTGGTGGCATGTGCACGAGAATGGGTGAGCACACGTGCACGATTGCTCACAGATGCACACACACACAATAAGTGTGTACAACTGCTCACAGATGCACACATACACACACAATAAGTGTCCACAATTGCTCACAGATGCACACACACACACAGTAAGTATGCACAATTGCTCACAGATGCACACATACACACACAATAAGTGTGCACAATTGCTCACAGATGCACACATATACACACAGTAAGTGTGCACGATTGCTCACAGATGCACACATACACACACAGTAAGTGTACAATTGCTCACAGATGCACACATACACATATAGTAAGTGTGCACAATTGCTCACAGATGCACACATACACACACAGTAAGTGTGCACGATTGCTCACAGATGCACACATACACACACAGTAAGTGCACAATTGCTCACAGATGCACACATACACACAGAGTAAGTGTGCATGATTGCTCACAGATGCACACATACACACATAGTAAGTTAACTAACTAATTAAAGATATATAATTTTAATCTTCTTTCTGTGTACGGGTGTTTTGTCTGCATATAGGAATGTGTACTATGTGCATGCCTGGTACCCATGGGGCCAAACGATGGCATCAGATCCCCTGGAGGTGGAGTTACAGATACTAGTGTACCACACATGGGTGTTGGAAATTAACCCATGCCCTCTAGAGGAGCAGTTCATCCATGCTGTTAGCTGTTGAACCATCTTTCCAGCCACGGCATGTAATATTTTGAAAATTCATCTGTCTTACTTTATTTCTATTTTAGGATACGGAGCTCGGTGTGTGGTACACAGTCATGCTTCCAGCACTTGGGAGGTCAAGGCAGGAAGATGCTGAGTTCGATGGCAGATAAGGCTCCTGTGCGAACAGGGAGAAGTCTGAGGCTAGAGGAACAGCTCAGAGACTAAGGGTGATTAGTGCTCCAGGAACGGCTCAGGAGCACCTGCATTACACCTCAGAGACACCTTTAACTTAGGTTCAGGGACCTAAGGCTCCATTCCGTGGCTCCATTCCGTGGGTTTCTGCATCCATGTGTATGTATATACATATCCACTCCACACATATAAATGAAAATGAAGCTTTTTAGAAGCATGAAGTAAAATGGATTTACAAAGAAAATACTTCTAGACTGGAGGAATGGCTCAGTGGTTAAGAGTTCTGGCGGCTCGGCCGGGCGGTGGTGGCGCACGCCTTTAATCCCAGCACTTGGGAGGCAGAGGCAGGTGGATTTCTGAGTTCAAGGCCAGCCTGGTCTACCGAGTGCGTTCCAGGACAGCCAGGGCTACACAGAGAAACCCTGCCTTGAAAAACAAAAACAAAACAAAAAAAAAACAAAAAACAAAAAAAAAGAAAGAAAAAAAAAAAAGAGTTCTGGCCGCTCTTCTAGAGGACCCACGCTCAGTTCCCAGCACCCACAAGGGTAGCTCTCAACTTCCTCTAAGTCAAATTCCAGGGGATCCAATGCCTTTGTCTGGTCTCTTTGGGTACCTGCACTAATGCACAAACACCCTCACAGAGATGCACATAAAGAAAATTTAAAACAAAATCATGCTTCACTCTAAACTCAAGAAAAGGTCATTGTGTCAAGCATATTCTCTGTAAATACAAGCCCAGCTTTCAGAAAGATGCACAAGGTCCTGGGCTCAATCACCAACTTCACCAAAAAAAAAAAAAAAAAAAAAAGTACTTTTTCCTTAGAGACCCTTTTATGCTTGAGAGTTCTCTCATTTCCCCTTAATAAATCTATGTTTACTCAGAAAAAAAAGAAAGACAGAAGAGGGAGTAGCCTGGCAGTGATAGCGCACACCTCTGATCCCAGCACTCAGAGGACAGGGGCAGGACGATCTCTAGCCAGCCTGGTCTACAGTATAGTGAGTTCCAGGACAGCCAGGGCTACACAGAGAGACCCTGTCTCAAACAAGAAAGAAAGAAAGAAAGAGAGAGAGAGAGAGAGAGAGAGAGAGAGAGAGAGAGAGAGAGAGAGAGAGAGGGGGGGAGGGAATAGGAAAAGGAGAAGGAGGAGGAGGAGTAACTTCAAGCAAGAGAGGAGAGAGAGAGGACAGAACCTTGCAGTGGAGGGAGGGAGGGAGGGAGGGAGGGAGGACACCAGGGGAGGGCACCCACTCACCAAGCTCTGTGGAGACTTTTTCAAACTGGCTGAGCACAGCGCCTGCATTTGCTGACAGGAAGGCTTCATCATCATCTGTCAGCTACACGGGTGAGACAAGTAGAGTGAGCAAATGCAAGAGCAAACGTGTGCAAACGTGTGTCCTAAGAGCCACAGTGAAGTCGGCTCAGTGCTGGAGAGATGGCTCAGCAGTTAAAAGCACTGAGGCTTTTTCAGAGGAGCCGGGTTCAGTTCTCAGCACGCACATGCTGGCTCCCAACCATCACAAGTCCAGTTCCAGAGGATCCTGGAGCTAATACTGTCTTCTGACATCCATGGGCATCGAGCACACACGCACGTATAATACATACATGCAAACAGATAAAACATTCACACACATCTAATAAATAAACCTACAAATATTTTTTTAAAAATATCTTAGAGCACATCACAGGGAAGTAAGTTCTATATCAAACCAAATGTTCTACCTAGCATACTAAATTAAGTGCCAGTACCTTCTCTCCGAGTTTTCTGAGGGCCGTCAGTATCTCCACCTTCTGCTGGGTATACAGGTCTCTTTCCAGCTTCCCCACCATCAGATCTCTGTCCATCTAGAGTGAACGCAAGGCATATGCACATGAGCAAAAACCATTCTCTGTAGAAAAAACACCTTCTCAAACCTACTTCTTTTTTTAAAAAAAATATTTATTTATTTATTTTATGTGAATAGACTGTCACTGTCTTCAGACAAACCAGAAGAGGGCATCAGATCCCATTACAGATGGTTGGGAGCCACCATGTGGGTGCTGGGAATTGAATTCAGGATCTCTGGAAGAGTAGTCAGTGCTCTTAACCACTGAGACACCTCCCCAGCCCTCAGACCTACTTCTTAACACAAAAACTATTTGGTTAATATAAAAACTATAGAAATAATTGGAAATATCTAGGCAGTAGCAGTGCTGTCAGGTAAGTTCTTGACATTATTTATTTATTTATTTATTTATTTATTTATTTATTTATTGGTGTTTCAAAACAGGGTTTCTCTATGTAGCCCTGGCTGTCCTGGAACCCATTATACAGACAGGCTGGCCTCGAACTTGGATCTGCCTGCCTCGGCCTCCAGAGTGCTGGGACTAGAGGCGTGTGCCACCACTACTACATGGCCAAGTTTCTGAAGTTTTAAAAAGTTACCCTCATTTATTTATCTACGTGTGCACATGCACACATGCCCACACACACACACCCACATGCTCACATGTACACACGTACACATGCCCCCATACACACACACACATGCTCACATGTACACATGCACACATGCACACATGTACACATGCACACATGTACACATGCCCACACGCACACATCCACATGCTCACATGTACACATGCACACATGCACACAGGCCCACATGTACACATGCACACATGCACACATGCCCACACGTACACATGCCCACACACACACACCCACATGCTCACATGTACACATGCACACATGCCCACATGTACACAT